AGTGGGACAGCAGTGTCGCCGGTACGCAATGTTTGGTGAATCGGAAAATGTCGGAACATTTCTGTACCTATTTTTTGGATTTCTACTACGTAAGCAACCTTCCCACTTGAATCATACGCACGGCGTTATAAATGAGGCCCCAGGTCTGCTCCTGTGTCACTCACCTCTTTGCAGAAGTCTGATGAAGCTTTATCCGATTCAAACATCAGGGACCAGTTCTGCCTCTGTTCATCATAAAAAGTGCAGTAATTGTTTGGCTGTACCTGCAGAGAACCAACATGAGGAAGAACACATTATTTCATCACACAGCATTTCATCTGCAACTTGCTCCCTAGTTTACAAGTAACACACCCTTATTTATTCACAGCGACAGACTGATAGGGAGTGTGGACACTGCCTGCCAAACGTATACATATTCAACTGTTCTTATTTCAAAAGGTCTTTATACATATCTAATGAAGATGTATTTACTAAAGCCAAAAAGAATTATTCTTTTTTCTTCTGGTAATGTATTTTCTAAATCTGATCTCAATAGTTTTCCCTTTAGTGTTTATGACTGGAGAAAAAGCAAATATAAACGTTTTTATTCCAGTTGAATCTTTCTTTCTTTTCCCATGTATGAAATATGACTAAAAGCTATACGTTTTATTCTAGACAAAGGAAGACATGACAGTGATGTTATATAAGTTGCAAACACACAATATATGTAGCTTGTGTTGAGGTTACAGGAGGAATTAAGAAGTGTCCAGGAAGGAAACATGAATAATGTTGTGCTCTTTAGAACATGAGGTCGTGGAGCACGTCCAACTGTCGAGGCCAAAAGGACTATTACATGAATTCACAACTGGAAACATGTATAATTGCCACCCTTTCAAACTTTCCAAAAGTCAAAAAAATGGACAGAGAGCAGATCATCAGAATGTATTTCCCCTGCCGATCAGAGCGTCCGTACTTCTGTTATTTTTATACTCTTTTAGAGCCATGGGAAGAGGACCTTCATACCCTTTATGATGAACATGATTTGATTAGATCATATAGCATGTCAAATAGAATTATAAATAAACCACACAACTGATAAATCCCCCTGGTGCATGGAGTGTAAACTGAGAGCTGGAATGTGTATTGGCCAAAGAGAGAAGTATAATTTCAAAGCACAATATTTGTAAAGATGCAGACCCTTTGGCTCCTCCAAAAAGGTTGTTTATCAGCAAGGTAATGTATGCTATTTAACCATAGCCATATATAACCTTAGGCCAGGTGGTAGCACACAACACAAGAGCCACAAATGCATTAGAAACGAAAAACAACGTAAAAATAACAAAAAGATCTCTTAACATTTGGAGAAAATTCAGTTTGGATAATTCATTCAATTTTAAAATAATAATATTTGTTATAAGCTTTTGTTATTTATTTATTTGTATGTCTGCTTATCATTTTCTTGTTATACAATCATTTGTCTCTCCCTTAAATGTCTACAGTTTTCATTTTGTGATTTCACTGGGATTCAAAAATATGTAGCAGTGAGCCTAAGATGTCAATAAAGCCCCGCCCACAGCCAGGAAACAGGAGCTCCGATTGGCCAGCTGTGTCTGTGGGCAGGAGTCACATGACATTTCTGGAACAGTCAGGAATAGGTGCTGTCTCCCTATAGTAAAACACTTTTCTATAAAAAATACTCCAAGGCACTTACACAGTAATAAAGACAGTATCAGGAAGTGTAAACACTACAGATAGAAGAAGGAAGGGGGTTAAACCAGGGGAAGATATGGCTTTAATATCATATGCTGTTAATATAGCACATGATAATAATGTAGTTTGTGGTCGCTCTGATCAATATTTATTCAAACCCCCATTAGAAACCTGACAATAAATCCCTTTATGGAGCAGAAGGCTGTGGCCATAAGTGAGCATACCTCCAGAGCTCCTGTTGCTGTATTTCGTTTAAAACCATAGCTATTATAGGGTGTGTGTGTGTGTGTGTGTGTGTGTGTGTGTGTGTGTGTGTGTGTGTGTGTGTGTGTGTGTGTGTGTGTGTGTGTGTGCTCTGCATTGAAAAAGGTTAAATGATCCTCCATATTTACTGCAGACTAATGCATACTGAAGAAAGAAAAATATATCTGCTGGCTATGATTGGTTCTTCCTTGTCACATGACATGTGATCCCAGCCTGAAAAAAGCACCTTTCACAAGTCTAAATGGAAAACAGTGGATTGGACAGAAAACGCAACATACGTGCGAACCCTATCAGATAAAGTAAAACTTTGTGCGGTTTGTGACCGTTTTTTTCACCTTCTTCCGTTAGAAGTTTTCAGATCTACAAATGATCGAACCGTGTTAGGGTCCCCCATTATGTGCCCTCAGTGTAAGGTGTGATACATCACATTACCTGTCCAGGTGTATTCAACACCCTTTATGTGTTTACTCACCGTGAAAACAAAGCCCAAATGAATCTTGGCCGCCGCCACTTGTTTCTGTTGGCTCAAGTACAAAAGCAGCTTGTACTGCAGAAAAAAAAGAGGTGCATCTTTTGTAAAAATCAAAAGTCACATCAATAATCTGAAACAAGTGACCAATTAGCAAACCTCCGACCTCTTTTGTTGAGTGGTTGCCCAGCACAGCTGCTCCCAGCTTCCCCTGCTTCACATACTGTCCGTTAATACTGCACATGGGACAAAAAGGGGAGAACATCCTTGTACATACATACGTATTCATGAAGGGAGTGAATAGCCGCAGCCCACATACTTTTTATGTATAGAAAGTAAAATAAAACAAAGTTACAGTAATACAGAATTTACATTAAATGGGATCAGACTATAAAAACTGGGAGCTCACTATCTGAAGGCCTGGACTGCTGTGGCGAATAACACTGCAAGAGCTCCGGGGGGAAGAGAAGCTTTCTGGGTGGCTGCTGCTGTAAACGGACAAAAGACACATTGGGTTCAACCTCATCATGGCTGAATCTGAAATCATTGCTGTTTCTATTCACGTTGTCTTACCAGAAGTGAAGCTCTTTTTCGGCTGCTTCGGTGCAGTGTACTGGAAGGACTCATTTCCCTGATTGCCTTCCTGGTCTAGTCCAAACAGGGAGGCCAATTTGGCCCTGCAGAACAAGGGTAAAGATCATTGACATAAACTTCTGTTTCATGAAATGTATGAGCCACTCTTTGGGTACATAAAAACATCATGAAAAACATCATGGCCCCTCAGGTATGAGACAGGACTGTGCAGTCAGGCTGCTTCCGGCTCAACGGGGTAAATTGCTCATACATTACATTTCATTTAGTTGAAGCTTTTATCAAAAGGACTTTCAATAAGTTAAATCAACCATAACACACTCAGAACAGCCAGAGTCCTGCAGGTACATCAGCCTGTCATCTTCATTTCAGGGGCGTGCCACACTTCCAACAGCTCTTAACAGTTCAGTCCACATGAAGTCTGCCCAGCTGTCATCAAGGCAGCATCAGGTCCATGAAAGTGAAGCAAAACCCCTTCACTGAGGAGGGTAGGCAAAAAAAAACTCAACGTCTATGCACCATCTTTCCTTTGAGCAGATTAGGTTGCTCAGCATCATGGAGCCACATGTTTCAACCTCCCCAGGTCATCATCCATTTTTGTGTCATTTTGCACCGATAAAAAAAAATGTGAAGCAGCACATTTTTATGCCGGAAGGAAAACATGAATGTGTCTGTAAATAAAACAATATGATCCACATATTGACAAGTGTATTGAGGAGACAACCATCACTAAGTTATTACATGGAACATCCTTACAACTACTACCTCATCATAGGCACCAGTCTCATTATCTGCTACAGTTGAGGATAGACCAAGTCCAGCTAGCATGTACTGACCCCTGGAACTCTTTCCACTGGTAATCACTGGAATCTCCTGGAGCCGACATGTTGGAGGCCTCGAGGCCCTCATCACCCACGGTAAAGAACTCGGAGGAGAAGAGTCTGTTTGCATGTGAGTCAAACTCCTTCTAGTGTATGTAGCAGCGCCTCAGTCCTGGGTCAGCCTGATCCCTCACCCCCCAACGCTCTCACACCATCGTGGTAGATTCAACAGCACAGCACATTGCTGGGTCTCCACTGAGCACAGATGGGCTGAGGCAAAAAGCTTCACCTTACTCCTCTAACAGGCAGCATGTGATAGGAATTAGCCACCATAACCACCTCCCTCCAGAACATGCCCTACACTGGCTGCTTAATCCCCCACACACTGTGCTGGCATCACACAATGGCCACACAGAGCAGAGAGCACGGCTGTCAGTCTGAGAATGTGGCAAAACTGGAACTAAATGCATCTTAATTGAGAGCCAAGGTATATTAATAGTAAGCTAGTCGTAACAAAAGCATCATAGTTTGGAGTCCTCAAACTTCTTATTTGTCAACATCAGAACAAAATGGAAGTAAAGAAAGTGAATAATAAAAAATAATGATTCCTCAGTCTATATAACTGGGACATCGAGTAGGCTAGTAGAAATGTGATTCAAACATTACGTTTATAACAGGGGTCAGGTTTATCAGACGATTATTGAAAACTCCCCGAGAGAGTTTGGAAGTTATGAAATGATCTTTGCTGAGGCACAGAGCCAGAGGGGATGTGAAGGCATGACACACCATCCTCACCAGAGAGATGGCATGACACACCATCATCACCAGAGAGAAGGCATGACATACCATCCTCACCAGAGAGAAGGCATACCATCATCACCAGAGAGAAGGCACACCATCATCACCAGAGAGAAGGCATGACACACAATCATCACAAGAGAGAAGGCATACCATCCTCACCAGAGAGAAGGCACACCATCATCACCAGAGAGAAGGCATGACACACCATCATCACCAGAGAGAAGGCATGACACACCATCATCACCAGAGAAGGCATACCATCATCACGAGAGAGAAGGCACACCATCATCACCAGAGAGAAGGCATGACACACCATCATCACCAGAGAGAAGGCATGACACACCATCATCACCAGAGAGAAGGCATGACACACCATCATCACCAGAGAGAAGGCATGACACACCATCATCACCAGAGAGAAGGCATGACACACCATCCTCACCAGAGAGAAGGCATACCATGATCACCAGAGAGAAGGCGTACCATCCTCACCAGAGAGAAGGCATGACACACCATCATCAGCTGACATACCATCCTCACCAGAGAGAAGGCATACCATCATCACCAGAGAGAAGGCATGACACACCATCATCACCAGAGAGAAGGCATGACACACCATCATCACCAGAGAGAAGGCATGACACACCATCATCACCAGAGAAGGCATACCATCCTCACCAGATAGAGAAGGCATACCATCATCACGAGAGAGAAGGCACACCATCATCAC